TGGTGGGTGACCGTGGGCCTGGTGTCCCTCCCTCATCATGGATGGTGGGTGACAGTTTCTCAGTGTTCCATCATGGACCCTGGGTGATCTGAACTTAGTGTTGTGCCTCTCTTCGTGGGTCATAGATGGTGGTGACAAGGTTGGGTTCTTAAGGCAAGCTCCCTACCCCTCCCCTGCACCCTCCTGTCTCACCTCGCACTCATAGTAGCCCAGGTCCTCCTTGCTGACTGCCCGGATCTCCAGCACCAGTAGGCCGCTGCGTGGCTCACTCAGGGTCCGGTACTTGCCGCCAGGGGTCAGTAGGACCCCATCCCTGTACCATCTGAAGCCAACTCGAGTGGTCAGGTGGGACCTTCCCAGATCCCCAGTGCACAGGCCCCCTCCCTCACTCACCCCAAAGATCCAGGTGACCTTACAGTGTCCACCCTTTTGAATGCCACTAGCCCAATGTCCTGCCTGGCAATGTCCTCCTTGCTGCAGCGAGGGCTATCAGAACGTGCAGAGTCTCCGAGATGCCCACTTCTCATCAGAAAGGCCGTGCTTCTGTGTCCAGCCCACCCTGACCCAGTGAACATGCTGCCCACCCTCGATTCACAGGGAGAAGGGGTGGTACTGGGGCAGGCCCACCCACCTTGTCTGCCCCAACCCACCTGAACTGAGGGTATGGGGTGCCTTCAATGGTGCAGGTGACCTGGGCATCCTCTCCCTCCACAGAAGGCACTGCCCAGACCTTGTTCACAAACCGTGGTGGGACTGTGGGGGCCGTAAGGGAGAGATACAGAGAATGAGAGACAGAGAGGGAGGGAGAGGGAGATAAAGAGTTGGAAAGGTAGAGAAATAGAAGGACACAGAGAGAGACAGAAAGAGAGCATCATGTAGCAAGACCCCATGCCCAATGATGAGTCCCCAGACCTGGGTCAGACACCCACACCACCTGCCAGCATCTTTCACATGCCTGCAACCCCGTGGGAGTTGTGTGTGGGGGAATGGGTCCAGGTGCCCCACACCCAGTCTCCCTCCCAGGCTCACCCTGCACCAGGATCTTGCCCAGGGTGCTGGCATTGCCAGCAGCACTGGCTGCAAAACACATGTACTGGCCAGAGTCAATGCCAGTCAGGTTGTCCAGGATGAGGGTGCATGAGCCGTCGGGGTCTTCGATGAGGATGTGGTGAGGGTCCACCTCCACTGGCTTCCCATCTGAAGACAAGGGAGGGCTGTCATGGAGGGGCCCCATGGGGACAAAAGGCTGTGCCTGCCTGGGGATCAGTCACAAGCAGTGACGGGGATGGAGCTGAAACCCAAGGGCTGGCAAAGCTGCCCGCCAGTGGTCCAGCCAGCCAAGCTGACCTGGACCCCTGGACACTTCTTTAGACCTTCGTGTGCACAGTGTGGCCTCTGGAAAGCAGGCTCTTACTTGGAGGCAAGGGCCAGGCTAGGGGCCCGAACTCCACAGAAAACATCCCGTTCTTATAACCAGACCCTGAGCCACCTTGCCAACAAGTCTGTGACCCCAGGGACCTCCAAGGCACTGACCTGCTAGCAGACACGCCTGGATACCACCTATCTCTTCAATCACCCTCGTCCGAATGCCTAACATCTCTGACTGTAATATGGTTCTTTCTGGAGCGAGGGATGGGGAGATGTGAATCTTTTCCTCCATAAATATGTAAAATTTTATAGACACACACTTTTCAACAGCTCTGCATGTGCTGGGCAAGATGGTTTAAATTACAATGGCTCATAACCAGCATCTCGACTTTTGATTCACCAGGAACCTTAATGACTTCAAAATATACAAAAAAGCGCTTCCAGCCACCACCCCCTTTCTCTGGCCCCTCTGAACTGAGTTCCAGGAAAGTTGTTCTCACTCCCACTGTCTCCAGTGCTTCCTTTCCATTGGCTCCCAAACCCACTCCCTTGGGCTTTCACCTCCCACAAAATAGCTTTTAGTAAGTCTGTCAGTGACATTATTGATCCTACTGTCAAAAAACAGTTCTCTGTGCCCTCCTGGCACTCCTATGGCCGTCCTGAGCATGACAGTGGTTCTCGGATATTGTGTAGGGAGCTGCCCGGAGATCAGGGCAGCAGAACCAAAGCCACCTGACCCCTTCCAGCCCTGAGGCACTTCTCTCTGGGGGGACAGATGGGCAGATGCACCAGAAGCCCCATAAAAGCTCAGTGCCTCCTAAAACTCGGGGTTTCTCTCTTGTGGTGCAACCCACTGCATGCAGCAACTGAGGCAGACATTGTGCTTTCCTGTGACCAGCAATCTTTGTCTCCGACTGACCAGGGTCTTGTGTGTCTATATCTGTATGGCCAGCAAGGAATCATCTCAGACCCTCAGACGGCTTCTCATTTGCAGTTCAGTGACAAGAAAGGGACACTGTCAGAGACACGATGTTCCAGAAGAGAAAGAAGGTGGCCAGTTACCAGGACGTGAGGGAGGTCCATAGGACCTGGTGGTGGATATGCTGACCAAACTGCATGGTCGGCTGGGCAGCAGCAATCTGCCCTCCAACCCCCACCCCATTGCTGCCTGTGAACTGAGAAAAACCAGAAAGGTGGTTGCAGCCTTGTGTACTAAGAAGGGGGTTCAGAGAAGGAGGTTCATAGATATTCCTGGTCATCGCTTTGGTTGACTCACTCTCTTTGGAGCTGAGATGCTATTGGTTCAGCCTCAGGTTGTCGGCTCCCCAACTGTGTGGACAGAGCTGCTGGCTTGCTTTGCAGCAAATCCACTGCCTTGATTCCTGGGCCTCCACCTGAGAACTCTGTGCTCTGCCTCTGAAGGGATCTACCCTCGACTAGTGTGTCTTGTATCCAGCTCTAGTGCCAGAGCCTCTCGGCACATGGCAGCCAGCTCCACTTAAACACACACTCCTCTCCCAGCACGCTGACTCAGGTTTTAGCTAAGACAGTCTTTGGGGTGGGGAGTGGAGACTTGACGGATTGTATGGCTGTACGTCAATTGCCTGTTACACACTCACTGACTGACCAGCTGGACTTGTCTGCCTTGCTCTCTGCTCTCTCTGCTATTTCTCCGTTCAGGGGCTGCTTTGCATATATGGCCCTCTTCCAAAACACCAACAAACACTTCAACCCATATTGGGCCATCATCAACTCCGATGGGAAGGGGCAGGAGTGGGCGAGAACTATGGGCATGAGGACGGGCACTGAGCAAGCACGCGTGCAGGGTTCTCTTGGAGACGACAGTAAAGGAGCCGGTGTATGCAGCGGGCCCAGGCGCAGGACACCTCCCTGCACAGAAAAAGCCCTACGGGAAGCCATCCGTGGCTGGCATGCCAGATTGTGGCACCTAGGTGGCATCTAGAATGCCAGTGACAGGATGAGGAGAGGTGGGCCACAGGGCCATATGTTCTGACAGGTGGGCCTGCCTCCTTGGAAACCTTGTTCAGCTCTCATGGAGAGAGGCTGGACGTGTTACCACTGCCCAGGCCACTGAACGCCCTGCTAAGTGGACACCCCCATAAAAAGGTCAACATTGTGCAAGTTAAGCCCCAGGCAGCCGAGGGGAACAGAGCCCCAGAGCATGCTGTGATGTGGCTGTTAATGTGAGGGGTCCCAGAACAGAAATAGCTGTGGCAGTGACGGTCATGCTACCTGGCTTAGGGTTTGAGCAAGCCCAAAACACCATTTGTCACTGAGCCCGGAAGTGCGTCTTGTTCCATCCCTGAATCCTGGCCCCTTCCTCCTCCTCCACCTGGCCTCCACTGCTTTAAGAAAAAAATTATCAGGGATTGACGTTAGTTTCCCTGTGCCAGAGGGACTTCCTGTCTGATATGCCAGGGACCTCAGGCAGGAGGACACAGACCTTCACGGGTCTGCGGGATCCAGGCACCTGGGTTGCACCGATGGAATCTCCACAAGGCTCCCGGTGAGAAGAAAGATAATGTCACCTTGGGGCCAAGTGAGGGGACCATGTGGCTCCTACCACTCGGCCCTGATGCTTGCCGTGTTTGGAATTTTTGCCCCACATGTGGGGAGGTAGCCGTGGAGCATGTAACCGGCCCAGCCCAGCAGCCTGTGCCTTCCCAGGTTGGCGTTCAGAACCCCATGGGGAGAAGAGAGTTCTAGGCTTCTGGATGACATGAAGGGAGCTGGGGTGACAGGAAAGGCTATGTCCCAACTCAACAGCCCAGCACAGACAGAGAAGTGGATTATCACTAGCCCAATCCAGTCTTTGCTCTTGTGGCTCCAGCTGGTGTAGACAGGGTAGCTGTAACGGGTCCACTGTGCATTCAGGCGGTGAGGTCTCTAATGCACACCTCCAGTGCCCTCTGCTCCCTGCTGGGGGGGTGGGTCAGCACTTGGCCCTCTGTCGCTGACACTCAGCTCCTGCTGTATGACATTTTGCCGGCTGGCAAGTCTGACTGCTGCCCGATGCTGCTCTTCCTGGCCAAGGTCGTTAGGTGCTCACTGACCTTGAGCTGTTGTGAATGACCTGGCTGTTTGGTTTGCCACTTAACAATCTATAGATGGGCTGATGGAAGACACCCCCCCCCACTGTGGGGCTATGAGGCACATCGCATGGGGTGAACCCCTGTCCTGGTGGGTCAGTGCCTCCTGGAGCTTTCTGTGGTATTTCCAACCATGACGCTGATTTGGGTCAGTCAGGGACCAGCTCTGGCCACACCCCATGGCCTAGTGTGCCACGTGGACCACCTGCAGTTTGACCCGTGTCAACACGAGCTGATTGTGCAGCTACCACTTGCCTCCTCTACTCACTGGACACAGCTGTCCCAGAGGGGTCATCCCTTCCAGGGTCTCACCAGGTAACAGACAGGGTGAAAAAGACCAAGGACTGTCCAGCGCAGTTGGAAACCTGGGCTCTTGTCCTGACTGCCTGGGCAAGCTGTGTCCTTCTTTCCCCTTGGATACGGCCAGCTGGCCGGCACATGCTTTTGGGGACAGCCTGGCAGAAAGGGAGGACCCGAGGGGTGCAGAGTCACTTCTGGATGATTTTTATGAATGGGGTCCCTCTGGGCCTGCCCATCAGGCAAAAGGTCTGGGTGAGAAGGGATGGCGGGAAGGATGAACTTCACGGCTTCTGTGCAAAGCAAGGCAGCTGGGAAGGGACCACTGTGGACCCCAGAACGTGAGCCAGCGGGCTTCCCTCCAGAAAGAAGACCCCGGCAGCTCTCTTTAGCTGCCACTGGGAACCAGATGTTATATCCAGTGGCTCTGCCATGTAGCTATGACCATGGGCCATAGGAATGGCCCCTCCTGCGTGTCCCAGCAAAATGCCCCTGCATGTCTTCTTCAGACCCATCCTTAGTCCTTCGAGGATAAACAAATGCCCCTGGCTGGCTGTGGACAAGCAGGACAGCAAGGACTGATAGCCCTGGGACGGTTCCTCTAAAACCAGGACTAAATTCGGTTATTCACACTGAACTAGGGACTCATAGGCCTATCTGTTAGTCCAGGTGCAGCTTACCTGCCAACCCGGATGAGGCCTACCTGCCAGCCCAGGTGACCCCTGATAAGGGTATTCTAATTTACCTAGGGGCCTGAACCACAGCAAATGGTCTACGCTAGACTGTGATTTAACATGGGGGCTTTGGGTCACATGGCATCAGGTTGACCTCTGGAGGGGTTGTGACAGGTCAGCTATGCAGTGGTCAGCCATGACAATGTGGATGTCCCCCAACAGAAACCCTGGAAACTAAAGCTTGGTGAGAGTCCCTGGTTGGCCACTCTCTGTGTGTTGTCACACATCAAAGCTAGGAGAACAGGCACCATCTGCACAACTCCACACCTTCACCCCACCTGGACCCCGCCCCTTGCACTTCTTCCTTCTCACTCACTAAACTGGAACAATGACTGGAATTGCTCTGCTGAGTTCTGAGTCCCTTCAGTGAATCATGGAACCTAAAGGTGTTTGTGGGACTCCCAACCTTGGTGTTAGAGTGAGGGTGTCCCTGGGGATCCCCGAACTCTGCAGCTCCCATCACACTCAGAACAAATCCGAGACCCCACCGCAGCTCTCATTCCCTGCTGTGCCCGTACTGGCGCCCCCTCTACCCAGACTCCTGGCTGCCCCTAGGAGCCTTCCAACATGTCTGCCAGGCTGCTTGTTATTTTTCTGGCTGGCGACCTTGCTCCCAATTTCACATTACTTGTTTGTCTCTCTGCTCTCCCCTGTCCCACCTCGTGTGCCCTGGCTAGTCTGTCTTTGATTTGGGAGTGGGCAACTGGGGCAGGAAGCCTGTCCCTTATGCCCGGTCTCTGACCAGGACCTACCCAGCCTGTGGTGAGGCCAGCAGCCCTGGGCCCAGGGGCCTACCTTTGTACCAGCTGACGATGGGCTTGGGCATGCCTGTCACACGGCAGGCCAGCTTGACTGTTTCACCCAGTTCGGCTGTGCAGTCAGCCAGCTCTTCCTCGAAATCTGGGGGGCCTGGGAACACACATATACACCCAGGTCCTGAGTGCTTACCTGTGCCCTCAGTGCACCCCTGGCAGGTTCAGAAGCCTGACTGAGGGCATGGTTGCTATGGATACCGCCCCTTGCAATGTTGGAGGCAGGTTGGGAGTTACTGGGGGGTGGCAGGAAGTGTGGAGAGTAGGGTGTGTTGAAAAGGGAGCCTTGCTCCTATTCCAGGTGGGGAAGCAGACCCTTCACACCCCGAACCCAGTCTGGGTATCTGCCCGGTGATGGGGACCCCTAAGTGAACCCCAAGGTCCCAAGGACTGTGGTCAGGACCATCCCAGAACCCCAGCTCAGCCCAACAAAAGGCTGAACTGACAGGGGAGAGCGAGCCATCTGCCCCAGGAGGCAGCCTTTTCCCTGGTGGCTGCCCAGGTAGGGGCAGGGGCCTGGGCGCCCCCAAGCCAGATGGCCAAGCTAAAAGGTTCAGTTCTTATTTCTGGCCTTGCCGCCAAGACCTGGCACTCACGCCAGACGGGCAGGGCCAGGCGCTGCTGGATGCCACAGATCTCCTTCACCCAGGCATTCTTGGTGATGACGGTCCGTGCCTGCAGCAGGTACTTGCGCACTGAGTCCTCCCGCTCATGCCATACCTCGAAGGCACGGTCATCGCCCTCCACCTGCTCGTTCAGGTCAATGCTACTCAGCTGTGGGGGGAGGACAAGGGCTGACCGTCCAGCATGCGGCCAGAAGAGCAGCCTAGGCCTCCTCCTGCCCATTGCCCTGCAGGCCCCTCTGCCCACGAGTGCCCAGCCAGCACCTGCATACCTTCATCATGTTCCGGAACACATAGCTGAAGGTGTCGGTGCGCGAGTCCCGCCTGGGCTTGCAGACCACAAGGTGGTGTCGGAACAGGAAGACGTGGCGGTGGTGGCCCCTCCAGGGCATGCGTGCACCTGGAGCTCCCTCCCACACGATGAAGTGGCCCTGGGGGAGCAGTGGGTCACGGTCAGTCTGGGAAGCAGCTGCCACAGCCCCACGGCCCACCCTGCATGGTGCCCCCCAGACCTGGCGGATGGGCTCGCCCAGGGCCTCCAGGGTGCCCGGGTAGTTTTCCATGAGTGACACATGCAGCTGGTTCTCGGCGCGCTGTGGCAGGGCCGACACCACTGCATAGGCCTGCTCCAGCAGCGCGCAGTTCTGCCGGTTCCGCGCCTTGTTGCGGATCAGCTCCTGGGGAGACAGTGGGTCAGGGTATGCCCGCTGGCCATGGGATGAGGGGCAAGGTGTGAGGGGCGGCTGCTGACCTTGATCAGGGACTGGTACTGCTGGACTCGCTGCACTGGCTGCTCCAAGAAGTGCTGTAGCGGTGGCGGGGGTGGCTGTGAGGGATTGGCGGCTGACAGCACCTCCTCTGTGTATTTCTGAGGGAACAGAGGGCTGGGTTTCAGGGCTGGAGGACAAGGCCCTCGGATGGATGGCCCATGTCACCCAGAGCCTGAGAGCATGCACACAGCCCTTACTCTCTGGGTGGGCCTCACCCCCACCCCAGTGATGGCGGGTCACTGATGGATGAGCGGAGCTTCAGGGCCTCTGCCTGCTTTTTTCACTGAGCCAGGGCCCAGGGGCCTGAGCAGGCTATGGGGGGTTGGGCAGGGTCAGGGGAGACGACCTTAGAGATGGGAGCCAGTGCTGGCCGGGGGACAGGGGCACCTTGTAGAACTCCTGAACGGCTGTGCTGACCACCACCGACTCAGCCTGCACTCGGCCCACCAGGAACTCCAGATACTTCTCGAAGGCCACCTGGTTCTTGATGAAGCACATGGCCACATCGTCATCTGTGTCGCAGCTCTGTAGCTCCTGTAGGAAGCTGCCATGGAGTGAAGGTCGGTCAGGTGAAGGCTAGCATCAGGACCCTGCCCACGACCCACAATCCAGCCCTCCAGTTTGGAAGGAAACAGGTTCCTGCCAGGGCCTGGTCCCAGTGTCTCCTGGGGAGTGAGAAGGGAGTGTGCTGGGCTGTGGGGGCACGCATGTGTGATGTTTGAGGGTATGCACATGTGTGTAGACACATGCATGTATGTATGTGTGTATGTATGCAAGGGAATGCATGTACATTTGGGCATGCACGTGTAGGCTTGTGTGCACAAGTACACAGGCACACATGTATGTGGGTGTGTATGTGTGCACAGGTACATGTGTGCCCATGTACCCACACATGTAAGGGTATGCACATGTGTGCATGTGCCCATGGACATGGGCTGCAGCAGGTGGGAGCACTGCAGGCACTTCCATGGGTAAGCCAGGTGCACATGCCTGTTTCTGGGGACAGGTGTATCCTCGTACAGGGTGTGGTGTGCCAACAGGTAAGTCAAGTCAGCACCCCTGAGACCCAGCCTTGGGAGTACACACACGTGTGTGAGTGTGTGCAGTGTGTGGTGTGTGTCCGTGCACACACACCTGGGGAGCAGCCTGGAGGCCCGCCTGTCCACCCACCTGTTGTGGAAGTTGCTGAGGTCCTGCACGTTGCGGAAGATGACAGCCTTCTGGCTGGTCACCGCAGTGGGCGCGTGGGGACAGCAGTCCAGGTGCTGCATGTGGTGGCCTTGCAGGAACTGCAGGCTGCTAACGAAGGCCTGCTCGGAGCTCAGCAGCTCCTGGATGACAGAGCTGGGGGCAGAGCATGAGGGGCTAGTAGTTCAGCTGCTGAGTGGGCACCTCCTCTTGTGTGCAGCCTGGGGCCAGGGAGATGGTGGAGAAGGGCACCCCCACAAGGCCACCCTACTGCACGAAATTGTCAGGCAAAGACCCCAACTACCCTGCAGTCCCAGCCAGTGGCGCCTCACCTCAGCCGCGCCTTGTACTCATCCTCGGACACAGCCTCCCTGGGAAACTCAGGGGCCTCGGCGGGGCCCCATTCGGGCGACAGCTGATGAGGAACAGAGAGGGTTTTAGGTGGCCTGGGTGCTAGCCCAGCTCTGTGGGGGTCAGGCTCCTGTCCTCATGGGGGGACAATCCCAGGATACCACCCCCTGGCCATCCAGGTACCTTGAGTCTTTTGTCCAGGTAGGCAGGTGACACCCAGCCCTGCCGCGAGGGGCTGGACTTGGTGGGCTTGGTACGCACAAGCCAGCGAAGTGGGTGGGCCGAGTCCAGCACCTCCACGTACTGGCCCTCCCGCAGGGAGATGGCATCCTGTTCGGCCCCCAGGGGCAGGTAGTCGGCCGTGACCACGTAGATGTCAAAGATCTGGGGGAGGGAATCTGAGTCAGACCCAGAGAGGGACCAGCGAGGCCACCCAAGGCCCCAAGCCACAAGGCCCCCGGTATTAGTGGAGAGGAAGAAACCATCCTGACATTCTGTGAAGTTCTAGAACAGGCACAACCAATCTCTGCTGATGGAAACCTTACTGGGGGTGCTGGGTGGGGCCATCCCGGAGGGGCAAGGGGGAGCCTGGGTCATGGTGGTGATGCTGGCTGCTCAGATGTGCACCCTCAGCCTCCTCCACCCTGCCACCCAAGGGCCCCCATTTTCCACACCATCCTCCCAGCTCCTGTTCCTCCCTGCGGGCTCCAGCCTTCCCCCTCCCCCGCCCCTTCATCCCCCGTCCCTTCCTCCCCCGACACATACCTCTCCCCGGGAATCCCCGTCCTCTGACTCTGAGGATGACTCCTGGACACTGGAGGAGGGGCGTGAGCGGCCATGCCGGGGGGACGCAGATGGGGTCTTGGACTCCTCGTCACTGTCACCTCCGGGCACCTGCAACTTGGCTGGAGGCACAGGGATTGTGACACTGGGAAGGGCCAGCTCCTCTCCTGTGTCCCTCCCCTTGGGTTTCCAGGGTGCAGGCGGGAAGGGCCCTGACCCTGGGCACTGTCCCCCCAAACCCCACCCAGGATCTCGCTCTGGGCTGGCCCCTCACCCTGCGTGATCTTGGCTGACACCATCTCTGTGATCTGTGAGGTCAGCTTCTGCAGGAACTCCTCCGTGCCCACCTCAGCCAGGGACAGGTGGCCACGGGCCTCAGCTGCCAGGGGCTCTCCTGGGGGCCAGACCCTAGCTCAGCCAGCGTGCACTACAGACGAGCCACAGCTCGGGGTTCAGGGGAGATGGGGACACACAGGCTCAGGGTTATGCTGCAGGAAGCAGAGAGGGCTGACCAGGATGAGAAGCCTTAATGGCTCATGGCTCTCAGCCAAGGGGTGACCAAGGGGCCACAAACGGAGGGAAGCAGGTCCTGAACAGAGGGGCAGAGGGCAGTCAGGGGACAGCAGATGGCCAGCATGGCTGCAGGGTGCTGGGCCAGGGTAGCTGAGGGCTGAGATGGGTAGAGGCCAGGGTGGAGGAAGAGCTTACAGTCGTTGGGGCCCCCAACAGGGTTTGTGCCTCTTCCATTCACATTGGCTATTTGGCAGCTGGTCTGGGAAGGGGCTTGGGGGTGGCACAGGGAGCTCAATCAGGCAGTGGGAGATGAGGGAGGGATCTGGACACTTAAGGCAGGGGGCAGGACCCAAGTTATCTCCCGGGGGTGCAGAGCAGAGCCCCAGCGGCTGGGATTAAGGGTGAATGAAGGCTGACTGGGAGTGGGGGGGTATGCAGGGAACAAGAGTAGATATAGGTCAGCTGAGAAGTGACCTGAAGGTGGGCGATGGGCACAGCAGATGCTTGACTGTCTCCTCTCTACTTCTGTGCAGACTCAATATATTCAATAAAAATAGTTAAAAATACGCCGAGGTGCCGGGATACCCCATGCAAGTGGCCAGAAAGGAGCTGGGCAAGTGGGGCCCTCACCCCAACCCTGACTTGGCAGCTGCCTGCCCCATGCCAGGGTGTCCACACAGCCTGCTGGACATGAGCGTTGAGCCAAGTTCTGGTCGGCCCTGAAACCAACTGGGGCTTAGAATCTGGCCCGTGGGAGGGCGTGTGGGGAGCCCTGGCCCACAGCTGGGTGAGGGGGCATTCTGGGTCACCTGGGGCCAGGCAGCCTCATCCACACCCCACCCCACACTGGGATTCAGCCGCTCCTCCTGGAGCAGACGTGCATCTGCCCAGCCTGTACCTTTCCTCTGCCCGGCAAGGTCGGCGAAACCTGCAGGTTCTGGCATCTGTGTAGATGTGGCTTGGGTCCTAAAGGGGGCAGGGGTCTCCTGAGGGACTGGAATGGACCTACCACCTGCACCCTTGGACAGGAAGAGGGTGAGGAAACTTCTGACAGAAAGAGGGTCTGGGAACAGTGGGCCGGGTGCCAGTCAGGCCCCAGGGAGCCCTCACTTTTATAATGGGGAAACAGGCGCAGAGAGACAAGGGCTAGCATGAGCCACACTGCCAAGGGGCAGAGCCAGGCTGCGGTCCAGGACAAGGCTCCAGCAGTAGCGCTGTCCCTCCGAGGGCCAGGACCCCTATGCTACCCCTTATCCCCATCACAAGCTCTGGCACAGCCCCTAACTCACCCCTGCAGGAAGGTGGAAATGAGGGCCTCCTTCATCCCAGTCAGTTCCCCTGCTGTCCCCACCTCCTTGGGCACTGTCAAGAGAACAGGTAACCAGCAGGATGACACCCAACTGCTGAGCTGATTCTGGTGGGCACCCTGCCTAGGATGTCTGGGCCACCCCTACTACAGGCCTTTTGCTTGTCCGTTCAGAGCCCCGAGGAAGGGCTGCATGGGGCATCCCAACTCGGCCCACAGCCAGCCCGCCAGTGGTGGGGACAGGAACAGGTCTGCACTTGATGCACCAGCCCATGGAGGGGCTGAGCAGGGCCCAGGAAGAGACCGTTCATGGAGTCAGGGGGGTGCTAGAGGGTCTCAGCCTGCTGAGCAGAGCACACTGGGCATGGGGGGAGCTGGCCTCTGGGGCCTGTGCTCGGGTAGAGCAGATGGGAGAGAGGTCTGGGCAGGGTCCCAGTAAGGGGGTGCGTGTCCCCAGAAGGAGGCCTGGCCTCCTCCCATGCCCACCAGGCCACTCATGCCCACTCACGGCCAGAGACGTGCAGGCTGGCAGAACAGAGGGCCTGGCCAGCAGCATTGGAAGCGATGCAAGTATAGGTGCCCTGGTGCTGTCGGCCCACATCCAGCAGGACCAAGCTGTGCTGCTGGGCTGAGCTGGCCACCGTGTAGCCCGGTGTGTCCCGGCAGATCCACAGTACCTGCTCCGCCTCCTCCCTCAGCCAGTGCACAGCTGGGGTGGGGAGACCTGGGGCAAGAGCGGATGATGGACAGTCAGCCCCATACTGAGAAGGGGGCTCTGCCTCATCTTCTCTAGAGGTCCTGAGTGGGGGAGGGGCTGCTTTAAGCCTCCCTGGTGGGGGAGGGTCCTAAGTGGGGATGGGGATGCTCTGAGCCTGGGGGCGGGGGGCGGTCCTAAGTGGAGGAGGGGCTGCTCTGAGCCTCCCTGGAGGTGGGTCCTGAGTGGGAGAGGGGCTGCTCTGGGAGTCCTGATTGTGGAGCAGGATGCCCTACCTTCGACCTTCACAGAGAAAGTGATGCTGGAGCCCTTCTTCACCTTCTTGGAGGTGAACTTCTCCAGGAATCGGGGTGGCACTAGCTTCTGCACATCTGGGGATACACAGGTGGCTGCTGGTGATTCATGGATAGCAACAGCCCTGTGTGGTGGGTGGGCTCTGCCCCTCCTCCTAGGTTCCCACCCCAACCTGGCTGGGTGGCCTCCCTGAAGCCTGTGCCCTGCACCCCTCCCTCTCTCCCTCCACTGGATGGGCATCCCCACACCACCCCGCTGGGCATCCTGCTTTCTCCCTGCCAGTCTGGGCTTCGCTCACCTGCTGCTGGGCTTGGCTCACCTGCTGCCGGCTTCTCTTCTGAGTCATTGGGGCCTGAAAGGCAGGGAAGTCAGACCTACAGGAAGAAGGTGCCTCCCGCCTGGACCTGGGAGCCTGCTCCCAGAGTGGGGGTACCAAGGTTGGCCCGCTCACTTCTACACCCAGAACTTTCTGGAACCAGGGCAGGTATCTGCCCACCCACTACGCTTCTACACAGGGGGCAATGACCACAGGCTCAGCCCAGGCCTGTCAACGTCAGCCCCCACCACTCACCTCGAACCAGCAGCCAAGCAGATGAGTAGGCGGCACCCACGGCATTGCTGACATAGGCTGAGTACTGGCCGGCGTCCTCGCTGGTGACTGAGAGGATCTCCAGGGTGTGCAGCGTCTTCTTGTCCACCATACGGATGTGCGCAGAAGCTGCCAGGGGCTGCCCATCTTTGAACCAGTAGAGGCGGGGTGCCGGGTAGCCTGGAGACGCAGGGGGAGTGGTCAGCACAGAGCCACTGCCCAGTGGGCACCATGCCTTCCACATGGCCCAGAGAAGGGATCCCTGGAGATCCCTGGGCCATGGTGACTGCCTGACCTCTGCTGGCAGGAGGCAGTGCCTGGCCCTCCAGCCCTCTCCCCCTCACCTTTCACCTTGAGCTGGAACTTGGCCAGGCGCATGCCCAGAGCCACCTGGAGGTCTTTCAGCTCCTCCACCACCTGGGGCAGCTGCCCCTCCTCTGACGTAGACTCTGCGCCCTCCTGCTCACGACTGGCAGGGAACAGAGAGGGGTAGTGTGATATGACCGGGTGAGGGGTCCAAGGCAGGGGTGGGGTCAGGCTTGGATGGCTTCTGAGGCCTCCTGTTAACATGCTGGACAGAGCCCGTGTGGTCTGGGTGAAGCCTCCAAGACAGAGATTCTGTCAGTTCAAGTTGGCACAGCTATCCCCCACTGCAGGGCCTGGGACTGTCAGCCTGCTGGGCACTGCCCGTCCCTGCATGGTTCCCACCTGGACAGGTAGCCTTGGGCGCTGAAGTAGGACGAGGTCTCCGTGGCATCCGCGGCAGTGTCATAGTCGGTGCTGGTCACTGGGGATGAAGGGTGCAGCTGGAGCCAGGCCCAAGGCCCCTTTTCCCTGGGCACAGCCCCACCCCAGAGGCCACCTGGCTCTCACTGCACAGTTGAACCTGGGAGCAACTTATCCTCCTGGCTCAGAAGTCACAGGGACACAGCTACTCTGGGGCCCCTCCCCTCCCCTAGGCTGTTACTAACTACAAGGCCCAACAAATTATAAACACAGGATGTCTGTGGGCTTCATAAATGGCAGGCAAGGACAGTAGCATCATCTTCCAGTTCCATCCACTAGGGAATGGCAATGATGTATCTGGGCCTCAAAACCAACAGCTGGGGGATTCCACTTGTAGCTACAGTGGAGTAACAGGGACTGAATCGCCCTCTGCTATGGACTGGATGTTTGTGCATTCCCCAAATTCATATGTTGAAACCTAACCCCAAGGTGATGGTGTTTGAAGGTGGAACCTTTGGGAGGTGATTAGGTCATGAAGATGGGGGCCCTCATTAAAGGGGTTAGTGCCCTAATGAAAAGGACCCCACAGAGCTACTTCCACCGTGTGAAGACATAGCGAGAAGGGCATTGTCTGCTACTCCAAAGGACCAAACCGTGCTGGCACCCTGACCTCAGACTTCCAACCTCCAAAACTAAGAAATACATTCCTGTTGTTCATAAGTCACCCAGTCTGTGGTACTTTGTTGTAGTAGCCCAAACTAAGATACCCTCCCACCTGAAACAACCAAAACAAACAAAATACATGAAACAATGGTTGTGATGTTGTGATTTATAGTAAGAAATATGTATTTGGTCCTTATACTGTTCCTGACACAGAGGTCCTAAAACCCTTGGAATTTCCTGTGATGAGGATAATGGTGTCTTGATATTCATAACATGAACCCCTGTCAACCACCCCTGAGTTTATTTATGTGAATGAGGTGATTTTGGAAAGTCCCTAAGCATGGGGGCTGGTTTCCAAGGGAACCAACCATATGATTAGAGGGTCGGAACTTTCAGTCCCTCTGGGGAAGGGAGAGGGACTGGAGGTTGAATTAATCACCAATGGCCAGTGATTTAATTAGTCGTGCCTGTGTAATGAAGCTTCCATAAACACGCAAAAGGACAGGGGTTCGGAGAGCCTGTGGGTTGGTGAATACGTGGAGATACTGAGAGAGTGGTGGGCTCAGGGAGGGCATGGAAGCCCCTCGCCCCTTCCCCATACCTCACACTGTGCGTCTCTTCCATCTGGCTGCTCCTGGGTTATATTCTTTATAATAAGCCAGTAATCTAGTAAGTGACATGTTTCTCTGAGTTCTGTGAGCCGCTCTAGCAAATTAATAGAACCCAAAGAGGGAGTTGTGAGAACCTCTTATTTATAGCCATCAGTCAGAAGCATAGGTGACACCTGGATTCACCATTATCATCTGAAAAGGGGGGACGGCAGTCTTGTAGAACTGAGCCCTTAACTTATGGGGTCTGAAGTCATCTCCAGGTAGGTAATGTCAGAATTGAGTTAAATTGTAGGGCACCCCGCTGATGTCAGAGAGTTGCTCATTGTGGGGAAAACCCACACACATTGGAATTGGGTACAGAGTCATCAGAATGGTTTTCAAGTCACTGGACATTAAGCAATTGTGGGCCCTGAGAAAAAAAGAGGACTCTTAGTGGCTAACTGGACTCCAACTTCAAAGCAGAGCCTAGCAGCCATTTCTAACCAGGGTCCTCTCATGCAAGCCATGCTTCAGGTAGAAGCCTGCACTGAAGTGACCTCAATTGAGCTGTTTACACTGAATAAAGTTCCCTTCTTCACCACACTCCAAACTGGGGATTCCCGTTGGTGTTGAATCAACACCAACGACCATTGGCTGACACAAGTAAGGACACTGGTCCCTTACAAGGGGATCACTATGTTCCTGCCATTTGAACCAGTCCTTATAAAAAGAGTTCCTGGAATAGTACTTCAACCAATAGGACTGAGGCTTTCCCTGTACAATTGGAGCTGTGCAGCTATATTCCCTCATCAGCATCTTCAATGACCAATTAAAGAGACTCCATTCTGACCAAACAGGAGAGCTTTTTTGACAAATCAAGCTGTGAGGATTTGGAGTCCTCATTTGCATGAAGATAGACCAGTGAGGGACCAGAGGTGGAGACTTCTGTGTATATAAGTCAGCTTCTCTTAGATCCAAAGCACACACTTTCTCTTTCCACCAAAGACTGAAGACTATTATTTCCCACCTGGAGCTAAAACACCAAAGTTGTCTCATGGGACCAGAGTGGAAAAGAATAGGCAGAGCAGACCATATCATACCACATGGGCGCAGAACAGAGCTATCTATTAATAGATAGAGCATGCTGCTTCATAATTGAGCCGTAACACTATTGAGATGCTCCACAGCTGTGCTGTATCACAATTGAGCTGCTTGCACTGAATAAAGTTTCCTTTTTCATCTCAGCCCAAATTGGGGATTCTTGTTGGTATTGACTTGACACCAAGGACCACTGATTAACATAGGTAAGAACAGTAATGCTTACAGAGGAAACAGGTGAGCCCTGTGATTGCTCTAGCATCCTGCCTTTGGTTTCCAGTCCAGGAGGGGAAACTGAGGCAGAGCCAGGTAGATCCTGAGTTGAGGAGACAGAGATGATATTCTGGGAGACAAAGGCAACTACAGTCCACAGGACAGGTAATCAGAGAAGAGATGGCTACACAGAGTCCCTCCCTTGAGGATACAGCAGAGCATACATTAGCATGTGCATGTGATGACAGGACCATCAGAGAGGAATAGAGGAAACAGTGCCAGAGGAGCACAAGAGCTGGGATGCCACCAATTTCCACAGCCAGACTGGAAACACAATCCCCAAGGCATCGGGCAGAGTGTTCAGGAACGCTCTCACCCCAGTAGAGGGAGAAGATCAGCCCTGTTGCCTTGCCCTCACCTAACAAATCACATGCCAGACCCCAAAAGACTGACTGCTTCCAAGGAAGTCACTGTTTCCAAGACATAGCTCAAGAAGACCTGTAGGAATACACAGCATCCAGCTCCCAGCAGGGCAGTGAGGACTCACAATGTCAGGCACCCAGTCACAGATCACCAGACATGTGAGGAGGCAGAAAAACCAGAGCCACAAGGTGGAGAATAAGCAATCAGAACTGACATGATGTTAGAACTGGCAGCAAAGGATATTAATGCAGGTATCAGAACTGTAGTCTGTGTTCGAAAAGTTAAGTAGAGACAATATGTAATAAAGAGACTCAAGTGAAGTTCTAGAGATAAAAAATACAGTGGACGAGACTAATAGCAGATTAGATATTAAGAAGAAAACAGTGAACATAATGGTATAGCAATAGAAAAATCCAAAATGAAATGCACAGAGAAAAAATTTTAAAGCTTAAAGAGTGTCAATGAGCTGCACTATGGCTTCAAGTGGCCTGATATACGTGTAACTGAAGTCCCCAAATGAGGGGGAAAGGAAAACTATTTGAAGAAATAATGGCAAAAAATTTTCCAAACTTACCGAAAACTATAAACCCCATTTCCAAGAAGCTCAATTAACTGCAAGCATAAGGGTACATAAAGAAAAGTGCACCAAATAATATAATCAAACTACTCAAAACCAGTGATAAAAAGAAAATCTTAAGAAGTATCTAGGGAGGTGCCCGGGTGGCTCAGTTGGTTTAAAGCCTGTGCTCTTAACAACAAGGTTGCCAGTTTGATTCCCTGTATGGGATGGTGGGATGTGCGTCACCCCCCCCCCACCACCACCTGTAATTAGATTGAAAATGGTGACTGGATTTGGAGCTGAGCTGCACCCTCCACAACTAGATTGAAAGACAATGACTTGACTTGGAGCTGATGGGCCCTGGAAAAACAGTTTCCCTTCCCCAATAAAATCTTTTTTTTTTTAAAAGATTTTTATTGGGGAATTGGGGGGATGGGAACAGTGCTGGGGAATTGGGGGAAGGGGAACAGACAAATTGCTGTCGTTTTGTTCTTCAGTCTAGTTGTGGAGGGCGTTGCTTCACTGGCCCAAGTTGGCACCATCATTGCGCTCTTCCCTGGTGAGGCAGATCAGTCGCCGGCTTCTGGACAGCCACTCACTGCGGCTGCTGGCCTCTCACGCTGGCTGCTGGCTACATACGGTACCCATGGCAACCCACTGCCACAGGGACTGCAGCCTACGCCATCGCCAGCGACTCACGGCAGCCCAGCTCCAGGTTGAGCTGTTGTTCAGCATCCCAGCCATGGAGGGCAGTGTCACTGGCCCTCATATGTGGGATCCGAACCGGGGCCCTCTGGCATTCCAAGCAAGTTCTTAACCATTGCACCACTCGGCCGGCCCAATAAAATCTTGTTTTTTAAAAAAAGTATCTAGGGACCATATTTGCAGAAACTGACAAGCTGGTCCTAAAATTCATAAGAAAATGCATGAGACCCAGAATGTTCAAAACAATCTTGAGAAATAACAAATTTGGAGGACTAACACTTCTAGATTTCAAAACTTCCTACAAAGCTACAGTAATCAAGAGTGTAGTACTATAATGACAGACATTTAAATCAATGAATGAAATGGAGAGTCAGAACTAAACACATACATTTAATGGAAATTAGTTTGGGACAAGAGTTCCAAGACAATTTTATGGGGGAAAGATAGTCTTTTCAACATGGTGCTGGCACAATTCAATTTCCACATGAAAATAATGAATGTGGGCTCTTATTTTACAATGCATACAAAATAAGCTCAAAATGGACCAAAGATTTAACTGTAAGAGTTAAAACTATAAAACTTTTAGATGAAAGCAAAGGTGTACATCTTTATGATCTTGGATTAGGCAGTGGGTTCTTAGACACGACAATCTAAGCACAAGCAATCGAAGAAAAAGTAGATAAACTGGACTTCACCAAAATTAAGAACTCTTGTGCATCATAGGACATCATCAAGAAACTGAAAAGACAACCCACAGAATGGAGGAAATATTTAAAAATCATATATCTGATAAAGGTCTAGCACTCAGAATATGAAAAGAACTTTTACAACTCAAAATTAAAAGACAAATAACCTAACATAAAAATGGGCAAAGGATTTGAATAGTATTTCTTCAAAGAAGACATGCAAGTACATGAAAAGATACCCAGAGTCATTACCACTGGGCAAATGCAGTCAAAACCTCACACCCATTAGGATGGTTATTAAGAAAATTAACATAACAAGTGCTGGCAAGGATGTGGGGAAACTAGAACCTTCATGCATTGCTGGTAGGAATGCAAAATGGTACAGCTGCTGTGGAAAACAGGAGATTGCTCTAAAAGTTAAAGATAGAATCACCACATTACCCAGTAATTCCACTCCTAGGTATATACCCAAGAGAACTGAAAACATACGTCTACACAAAAACTTGTACATGACTGTTCATACCAGCATTATTCATAATAGCCAAAACAACCAATGGATAAACATCATCCAATGAATGGATAGGAAATCCATATACAATGGAATATTTTTCAGCCATAAAAAGGAATGAAGTACTGATGTTTGTTACCACATGGATGTACCTTGGAAACATGCTCAGTGACAGAAGCCAGACACAAAAGGCCAAATAATGTGTGATTCCATATATATGAAATGTCCAGAATAGGCAAATCCACCAAGATAAAAAGTGGATTAGTGGTTTCGTGGCTGGGAGGGGAATGGAGAGTGATGGCTAATGGGTATGGGGTTTCCTTCTGGGATGATGAAAATGTTCTTAAATTAGATGGTAGTGATGGCTGCACAACCTTGTGAATACACTAAAAGCCACTGAATTGTACACTTTTAAATGTTAAATTTTATGGTGTGCGAACATCTAAAGAATTTTAAATCCCAATGGAAAAGACAAGTTATGTGCAGAGAAACAAAGACAAGAATGACATCATATTTCTCATTGGAAACAATGCAAGTTAGTAGACAGTGGATCTACAACTTTAAAAGTATGGGAAGAAAGTGCTGTTCTAGCAAAAATCTTTCAAAAATGAAACCAAAATAAAGACATTTTTTTCAAACATACAAAAGCTGAAGGAATTCCAGCATACCCAGACTACAAAAAATGTTTAAAAAAACCCTTCAGGTAGAAAGAAAGTGACACCAGATGGCAATCTAGACCCACACAACAGAAGGAAAAGCACAGAAATAGAGGTACAGGGGAAAATATGTAAGATCTTGTCTTATTTAAGATAACTGACTTGTTATTCTGGTTTAAGTAGCTTTTTTCCTTTTTATTTGAGAGAACTGTAGGTTCACATGCTGTTTTAAGAAATAATGCAGAAACCAAATTCAGTGTCACATTAAAAACATCATACACCATGATCAAGTGGGATTCATTCCTGGTATGCAAGGTTGGTTCAATCTCCACAAATCAATTAACATAATACATCACATTAACAAAATGAAAAATAAAAATCATATGATCATATCAATAGATACAGAAAAAGCATTTGACAAAATCCAGCAACCATTTATGATAAAAACTCTTAGCAAAGTGGGAATAGTGGGATCATATCTCAACATAATAAAGGCCATGTATGATAAGCCCACAGCAAACATCGTACTCAATGGGGAAAGGCTAAAAGCTTTCCCCTTAAAATCAGGAACAAGACAAGGCTGCCCACTTTCACCACTTGTATTCAACATAGTTCTGGAAGTTCTGGCTACAGCAATCAGACAAGAAATTGAAATAAAAGGCATCCAAATTGGAAAAGAGGAAGTAAAAGTGTCATTATATGCAGATGACACGATACTATATAGAGAGAATCCCAAAGACTCTACCAAAAAACTGTTAGAACTCATAAATGAATTTAGTAGGGTAGCAGGATACAAAATTAACATTCAGAAATCAGCTGCATTTGTATACACCAATAATAAACTATCAGAAGAAGAAATCAGGAAATCAATTCCATTTACAATTGCTTCAAAAACGATAAAATACCTAGGAATAAATTTAACCAAAGAAGTAAAAGACCTGTACTCAGAAAATTATAAGATGTTGAAGAGAGAAACCAAAGAAGATACAAATAAATGGAAATACATACCATGCTCATGGATAGGAAGAATTAATATAGTTAAAATGTCAATACTACCTAAGGCAATATATAGATTCAATGCAATTCCTATCAAACTACCAAGAACATTTTTCTCAGAAATAGAACAAACAATCCGAAAATTTATATGGAGCCATGAAAGACCCCAAATAGCCACAGCAATCTTGACAAATAAGAACAAAGTGGGAGGTATCACGCTACCCAACATCAAATCATACTACAAGGCTACAGTAATCAAAACAGTATGGTACTGGCATAAAAACAGACACATAGATCAATGGAACAGAATAGAGAGCTCAGAAATAAACCCATCCATATACAGTCATTTAATCTATGACATTGGAAGAAATAATGCAGAGATTCCATATACTGTTCACCTAGTTTCTGGCAATGTTAACTTTTCTCTCAACTATAAAAGGTGACGTTGATCTGTCTGTTGACCTTATTCAGACCTCACAAATTTCACATGAATTCCATTGAATGTTCATGCAATAAAATGCAATTGTATTACTGTTGCACATGACCACAATGTGTTCCTTTTCCTTGCTGAGTAGTATTCCACAGAACACAGGTCAACCATTCACCCCTAAAGGACAGGTGGGTCCTTACCAGTTGGGGGCTAATAGGAACAAAACTACTCTGAGCATTTGGGTACAACTTTTGTAATGAATTGAGCTTTCATTTCTCAGATAAACGCCCAACAAAACAACTGCTGCGTCACATGGTAGGTACATGATTAGGTTTGTAAAAACTGCTACACCATGGTTCGAGAGTGGCTGCAGAGTGTTGCACTCCCACCAGCAGTGCACGGGGTCCCACTTCTCTGCACCCTCACTTGCATATGTGTCATCACCAATTTTTAGTTTATCCATCTGATAATGTACAGGGATGTCTTGCTGGGGTATGAATGTGCATTTCCTGTTGGCTAATACATAGAACATCTTCCATGTACTTATTTGCCATCTGTATATCCTTTCCAATAAAATGTCTGGACATGCTCCTGTTCTAATTGGCTTTTTAAACAATTTTTACTTTTAATATTAAGCATTCTTTCTATATTTTAGATAAAGTCCTTTATAAGATATATAGTTTGCAGATATTTTCTCCCAGCCTGTAGCATTTCACCCTCCTCACCAGGTCTTTCTCAGAGCAAAAGTTTTTAACTCTGATGAGGTCCATTTTATAATACAAAGTTTTCTTTTTACAGGTCAAATACAGAAAGGCCTTTCTTAGCTCTGGGTTTTATTTTTCTAAAGTCTTACAGTTTTATATTTTACAAATATATAATCCATTTTGAGTTAATTTTCATATAAGGTCGAGGTGTTTTTGTTTCTTGGCTTATAAATGTCCAAATTACTCTGTTGAAGTTCTATCCTTTCTTCACTTAATTGCTTTTATACTTTTGTCAAAAATCAGTTGGATGTGTTTGCAGGGATCATGGCATGGTCTTTGCTGTGATCATCCATGATCCTGAGCTATCTAAGGGCTGGCCAGGCAACACTGTGTTAGAACGAAAGGTGCTCCTACCTCCCTTGTTGCTTAGGAATTCCAAGGAATTTAGGAGCTGTGAGACAGGAACATATGAGACCTGATAGGTACTTTTTATTGCCCATAGTGCCATTAACCACCTCTATGCCCTGGGTCCACCTTCAAATGTTCCTGGGCCTCTCTCAGCTTTGATGCTGTTCAAGGAATTAAGGCCCCACCCCAGGGGGTTTCCAGAGAGCTCTCTATGGGCCACAAGGCATAGAGGCCCCAAATCTGGACCATCCTCCAACCCAGCACTACCTCTCCCAGTGGGAGTCCCTGCGCTACCCACCCTTGGCCAGCAAACCTGGCCGGCCACACTCACGGTCCACACGGAGTTCAGCCTTGGTGGAGGACACTCCCACGCTGTTCTCAGCCAGGCAGCGGTAGACCCCCATGTCTGCTGGCACCACAGCTGTGATGATGAGCTGGTGGCCGCCCTGCTGGTCGTCACTGATCATGTAGTGGTCGTCCTCCTCCAGCACCCTCCCATCCTTGAACCAGCGCACGCTGGGCATGGGCTGGCCCATCACCACACAGTCGAAGCTCACGGGGTACCCGTCCTGCACCTCCTGATTCTGCAGCTCAGTTAGGAACACTGGGGCTGGGAGGGACAGGCAGGGTGTGCGACTTAGCCCCAGCTCTCAACCCCAATCACAACAGCTGCAGCAGGTCCCCTTGTGTGACCTGCAGGCCTCCATTCATGTGGGAGTGCTCACAGACCTGGCGGCTAAACAGAACTCCATCTCTGCCTGCTAAGCTCCCCCCTCCTCCCCATTCTTTAGGGCAGGCTTCCCTTGTCAGCCTGGTTCCCAACACACCCTGAGGCCAGAGGGACAGCAAAGGGAAGCGGGGAGGAGGAGAGGTGGAAGGAGGATGAAGGTTGTGTGGCTGGGAGTCCAGGGTTGGAGGCATGAGGGGCTCAGAACTGGAGAGGGGAGATTTCAAAACATGACACTGTGGGTTAACAACACCCTTTCTGTCATTTCTAGGGACATGCAAATGAAAAATGAGATGGCTTTTTATTCAATTTTAGTTGCTGGAGCGGGAAATGGGGTGCACATTGGACCACATGCAACCCCGAATTTTATACAGATTGTATGTCAAACCCTCATGGAGAAAGAAACCAAAAACCAGAATTCCCATAGTGGGCTCAAAGATGAGGACTCTGAGACTCTCAGAGGCTAGATAGTAACAGGCACAGACGGGTTGGAATTGAGCTCTGTCCACCCCCAAGTTGGCGCTCTTCCCAGCTCAGTGAGTAGCATCTGCCAAAGGCCAGAAACTGGAGCCCAGTCAACTTGACCTTTCAGCTGACACTGGTCACCCACCAGCCTTGCCCCTCCTCTCTCCCACCCTGCCCCATGCAGCTTGCAGACTCACCAGTCTCTGTGGTCAGCAAGCTTGGCACTGGCTCTGGAGGTGCTGCAGGAACAAGGGACACCTTGGCGATGCGCATTTCCACCCCCCGGGGCCCCTGCTCTGACAGGCTGATGTCCACCCCGATGCCCAGTGTGCCGAACATCTCCCGGAAGCGGGCGGCCGCCTGGTGGGCCTCGGCCAGTGCCTCGAAGCGGATGAGGATCAAGTGCTCGTCCTCGCGGTATGTCTGCCAGTCCCCAGGCTCCTCGGGCTCCAGCGAGCCCTCATCTGCGCTCAGGAAGATCTCCTCATCTGAAACCTCCGCTGGGCCCTTGGTGCGGAAGAGGCGGTGCAGCCGCCGGGCTGCTCGGCGGAAGGCATCGTCTAGTTCATTGCTGGAGGAGCTCTCAGCCTCACTCTCGGTCCCGCTGACCACCACGTGAGCGCTGTGGACCACGTGGCCAAACTTGCTGCTCACCTGACAGGTGTAGCAGCCAGCATCAGCATGGCCCAGGCCGGTGACCAACAGAGAGCAGGTGCCATCCCCAAGCTGGTCAATGTGGTAGTGACGGCCATCAGTCAGCTCCACGCCATCCTTCAGCCAGCAGGCTCGCACGTCTGCCTTGCTGGACACCATACACTCCAAACGTAGGACGTCCCCAACTTGTGCCTCAGTGTCCCCAAATGTGTGGCGGAACATGGGCCCCTCCTGCTGCTTCATCTCCTTTCGCACCTTGTAGCCCTTGAAAGCAGCCTGGATCTTCACAGCTGCCTTGTCCAGGGATGGGTCACCCAGGTCCTCAGCACTCAGGTCTCCCAGCAGTGGACACACTGTGGCCAGCTGCTCCTGCTGCTTCTGTGGCTTCCCAGAGGGGGCTGCTGGAGCCCCGACCTGTGTGCATGGGTAAGGTAGAGAAACTGAGGCCCAGGTCAGGGAAAGTATGGACAGGGGCATCCTGGGCAAGCTGGAGGCAGAGCCTAGTCTGTGCCCCAGCTCCACACCTGGCTCCAGCATACCACTCTGCCTCCACCTGCTGGCAACTGCACTTCCTTCACAGAGGCTGGGTGCCTGACAGCTCCTGTTGTGACAAAAAACAAGCCCACCCTCCCTGAAATCACTTTACACAGTTACCCAGACGGAGACTAACAGGGTTGTGAGGAATACCATGGAGAAGCCAATTCTACTCTTTAAAAAGTTTTCACAGCCAAGTTTTAACATGGGTGAGTGGTAGATAGTGGATGTGGATGAGTGGATGTATAGGTGGGTGGATGGGTAGAGATAAGTGGATATGTGGGTGGATGGATGAATGAATGAATGGATGGATGGTGGATGGACAGATGATGGATAAAGAGATAAGTGAATAAGTAAATAAGTAGATAAATATATGGATAAATTATGAATGGATGGTGGATGGGTGGATAGATGGATGGCAGATTGATGAATGAACAGATGATGATGGACAGAGGATGGGTGGATAGATGGATGGATGGGTTGGTGGGTGGTGAATGCATGGATGGATGGATGGATGGTGGATGGGTGGGTGGATAGGTGAATATATAGATAAATGGATAGTGATGAACAAAGGGTGCTCAGATGGATGTTGGGTGGTGGATAAATGGATGGATAAATGCATGGTAGGTGGATGGATAAATAGAAGGCGATGGATGGATAGACAAGAGGTGGATGGATGAATGGATGATGTGTGGATGGACAGTGACTAGATGGTGACAATCTGAGACACCCAGGCCTCCTTCACAGGCCAACGTGGAAAGCTCACCTTGCTGGCCAGTAGAGAGGTGCTGGGTCTACCAGCCTTCTTGAGGTAAGTGACCAGGGAAGGAGTGCCTGCCCGGGATTCGTCATCAGAGCTGGTGTGTGAGAGGTCAGCCTCACCGGTGCGTGCCAGCTCGTCAGCTGTGGAGTAGTCCTCAGAGAGGTCAGGGGCCATCTCCTCTACTTCTTGCTGCAGACGCTGCAGGCGCCCATCCTCTTCGGGCAACTCGCTGATTGAGTCTAGCGTGGGCTCACGGCTCATGCGGCGTTTCCGGGCCAGGGCTTCCCATAGCAGGTGCAGGTCGCCCTCCTGAGCTGCTTCAGGGGGCAGGCTGGGCTGCGTAGGGGCCTCATCCTCAGATCCTGGTGTCAGCACCACTGGGGACAGCAGGGTACTGATCAGCTGGGCAGGAACAGAGCCATGACTCAAGCTAGCCTGGGCTGCTAATTGTGGTTCCCCTCCATAGGACTCTGCTGCTTGCCTGGGCTCCAGAGAGCTCTGATGGCACCATCTTTATGAGGTTTCACAGGCTCTCTCTAGACCTCAGCTTCTGATCAGGCCAGGCCTCAGCCTACCTCCTGCACAAGGAGCTTGGGGCCAGAGTGCAGAGGATCAGAGTGGGGGTTGGGGGGGTTAAAGTTCAGGGAGCTGAGGTCGGGGGGCTCAGAGGTCATGCGAAGGTGCAGAGTGCAGGAGGAAGGGGGCTCAGTGTAGGGGGGCTCAGAGTGCAGGGGCTGGAAGACTTATAGTACCAAGGGCTGTGACGGTCAAGATCCCACTCAGGGAGGAATGTGGCCTGAGATGCCAGTGAAATGAGTGCTGACATGAGGCTGAGCCATGCTGGGTCTGTGCACTTCCTCAGGAGGCCTCACTCTCCCTTAGACAGACCCTCTGCATAGAGGGCCATCCTCCCCACCCCCATACCCCAGGGGTCACCCTCGGTTCCCCACCCCCTTACACTGGGCCCCCAGGGAGGACGCACCCTGGAAGTTGGTGGCACGGGCAGAGGCAGGGTCCACAGCAGGGCCACAGTGGTACTCGCCCTGGTCCTCCGCGGAAAAGCCCCGGATCACCAGTGTGTGCTGTCGACCCTGGCAGAGAACCTGAATGCGTCTGCTGGGCTGGATGCGCTCCGTTCCCTTCAGCCAGACAACCTCACCCGCCTCCGCCACCTCGCACTCCAGACGCAGGTCCTCGCCGGCGGACACCTGCCGGCTCTCTGGAGCGGAGGACAAAGACGCGAGCTCCAGGGGCTCTGCTGGAAACAGCGGGTTGGGATGGGCACAACAATAAGTACGAGCCCCAGCCTTCCAGCTTAGAGGCCCGAAAGCTCCAGACCAGACCCCCACCCTCATCATTTTGGACCAGGACAGCGACTCACCGAGCCTCACCATCTGGGGCAGGTGCACGGGCTCCCCAACGCCAGCGGGGCCCACGGCCGCCACGCGGAAGCGGTAGGTCTCCCCGGGGGCCAAACCGTCCACCACGCACTCAGGCCCCGGCACCAGCTCGTGGCACAGCCGCCACTCGCCGGTGGCTGCCGCCTTCATCTCCACCCGGTAGCCACAGAGACCCCCTCCACCGTCGCTTGCGGGGGCCACCCAAGACAGTGTCACGGAGCGGCCGCTGCGCCCCACCACCTCGGCATCCTCCGGGGGGTCGGGGAGGCCTGCGCGGGGCCGGGGTGGGGTGTAGGCTGTCAGTGCGGCATCTCCCCATTCGGGGCGCAGCCCCAACAGCCCTGGAGTCTGATCCTAGAACCCAGTGTGGGTGCGGGCAGACCACCCCCCCAGCCCGGTGAGCCTCGGTCCCTGGAGCCGCCTGTCTCAGGAGCGAGGATCTCGCGTTTCAGTCACAGAGACTGTGTGCCCGAGCCCACCCAGGGTTAGGGGACACGGAGAGCCCCCAGCAGCGTCTGGGGCTGGAACCTCCCGCTCCTACTCACACACAGGAGAGCCCTGAATTTGAGCTGTAGCCAGTGGGCAAGCCACCCACCCAGTACGGTGAGCCGCGCAGAGGCTACTGCGTCGCGGGCGGCGAAGGTGACCTCTCCGGCATGGTGCGGTTGGGCGCACCGCAGCAGTAGTGCGTGGTGGCTGCCCTCGGCAGTGACCGTCCAGTCGGCTTCATCCGGCTGCACTGCCGCCCCGTTGATGTACCAGGTCGCCTCACCCACTGGCACCGCTTCGCTGAGCACACATCTGAAGTGGGCCTGCCCTCCCATCCGCACGACCGCGTCCCGCGGGGGTTCCAAGACTTCCAGGCGCCACCCTGCGTGGCGGAGTCGGGGGCGTGAGCGCGGGACGAGGGGCGGCCTCTGAGACAACCAGCCCCCGCCACCCCTCCCACAGTTCCCGCCCTCCATCTCCACGCAAAGGCAGCGGCCCAGCTCAGGTGGGAGGGACTTCAGAGATCTACATGCCCCCAACACAGACTGGATTCTCCCTCTGATGAGGAAGCCTCAGAGATGGATGTCCTCCCAATTCCGAGCCTCTGGCGGGAGAGGTCTCAAAGACCGATGCCCCTGCCATCACATCCCTCCCGGCTCTGCCCATCCCCCAGATACCCCTACAGACCGTTATCTGGTGCGAGGTGTCTGAGACTTATTCCCCGCCCCCCGCCCCCCCGCGGCGGCCTCTCCTCGCACCGGAATCCGGTGGGATGGGCCTCAGACCAACAGCCATACCCCTATCCCCCCACACCCGCGGTCCCAACCCCACTTCTGAAGCCCACAACGCAGCATTTCGTGCGAGTTTGAAAGACTTACTGCCCCTCCTTCGGTCCAAGCTCCACCCCCTCCCCGCATCCCTTCAGCGGGGTATCCGCCCAGAGGCATCTGGAGACCCCTACCCGCACCCCGCACCTCTGACGGTGAGGAACGCTGATGTCACTACATCCCCAGCCAGGAAGGTCACCCGGCAGCTGTCCTGCAGCCGCAAGTTTTTGAGCAGCAGCAGGTGCCGCAGGCCATTCTCAAAATAAACCACTTCGGTGTTCTCGGAGGTGCGCACGGGCTCGTCGTCCAGCAGCCAGGTGTGGGCGGCCACCTCTGGCTGTGACAGCTGGCACTCGAACAGCGCTTCGCCACCCTCTAGCGCCTCCACGTTCTCCAGGCCCCGCACCACAGTGTTCTTGGCTGGGGGAGGGAGAGGGTGGCTCAGCGCATAGGGTCCTCCTCCTTCCAGATCCCCCCACAGTCACGTGGGGGAGTCCTCCTCCCCCCATGACATAAGGCCAAACAGGGAGGGAGCTGCAGCTAGCCACAAGGAGGGAGGCCAGTGGTATCCACATGGAGCCATCATGTGTGGCCTACCCAAGGCCCTGCCCAGCTCCACATATCACCACACTAGTGGCAGGAGTGTGTGTGTGGGGGTGGGGGGGTCCTACCCATCTCACAGGTGAAACACCTTATAGGTGTTGCCAAAATTGCCAGGGCCACTGCGGGACTCAAAGCTGGCCTGAGGCTTCCACCCCTTTGTTCTGGCTGCAGGTCGGGCTCTGGACATGGCCCCGTTTCCTCTGTCTCCCATTCAGCACTATCAGACCTGCTGGGCTGCTCCCCTCATTCACTAGGACCAAAGAGACCTCTGACCTCATTCTCCAACCCTCTGGTTCTCTCCTGCATACAGTCCGTGAGTCTAATAAGCAGCCACACGGTTTTCATGGAAGCCATGAACTCAGTGCCTGGCTGTGCCAGCTAGCCACATCCCAGCACCGTTTCCACGACAGGCTATCTGCACTGCAGGTGTGCAGCAAAGAGGAGTGACAAGAGGGGACACTGGAATGGGAATGGAAGGAAGCATGGGGGGCAAGCAGGGAATCAGGCCAGCTGAGTGAAGGATACAGGGGCCAGGTGTTAAGGTCAAGCAGGAAAGGAGTGCCAGGTGACACAGGGCTGCCCTGGATGCTGGGGAAGGTCTGGCCTTAACCCACAAGACAGCAAGGAGCCACTGCAGTCACTGAGCTGGAGGTCCAGGCCCCCAGCCCCAACTGCTGTCTGGGTATCTGTCCCAAAAGGAACCTGCACAAAGCCCTGATACTGCCTCCCAGCTCATCCAGAGCCCAAGCCTGTGCCTGCAGGCAGGGGTGTCTGCTCTGGACAGGGAACTGAGGAACGAATGGGTGAAGGTTGGGGGTAGGGCACCTCAGAGCAGAGGACCCACTGGGCCATCCACATCCTTCTACCAGGCCTCCTCCTGCCCTGAGCTGCTCGTGCCACAGACCAGACTCCCCCCAGCCTTTTTCCTCCTGTTACAACTACCGGAGCCAACAAGGACCCAGGAGTCTGACCACATCCTGTTCCAATGGAACGGTCAGAAGGGGTGTGGACCAGAAGGAAAGGCAGGCACAGTCATTGCTGGAGCTCACCCTCCTTAGTTCCCATCCAAGGATGTCATCACTGCTTTATTTGATAATATCCCAGATTTTTGAAGCAGCAGCGAGCCCCTGAGCCCTGCTGTCCACTTTCCTACACTGCTCCATTCTCCACTCGGTCCTGCCAGTGGCTGAAGGCTCTGCTCAGATGTCCATGAGCCCCACTGCAGCTGTTCCCCATAGCACCTATCACATTTTCCAGTGGAGATGTCGGTGTCGCAGTGAAAGGAGGGCTTTTTGCCTGTTCCCCGCTGTGCTCCCAGGTACCAAAAAGAGTGTTTACAAAACTTAGTTGTTGAGCTAGTGAGTGAATGGAGGGTAGGGACCTCAGGTGGCCAGTGGCCGGACTGTTCTCACCTACTCACACCTGCTGTCCAACTTGGATGGCCCTGACAACTGTCTCCACCCTCCAGCTCACTCTCCACCAGGAACATTTCAGATTTTCCCAAAGAGGAAGTGGCTCCAGCCAAACGATGCCCCCTTCCACAGAGTGGGGCAGCCCATTGTCCCCTGCTCTTGGTTCCCCAACAGCATATGCTTTCAGGGACATGGGCTTGGGGAGCCCTCTAAGTGAGCAGTCTGGGAAGGGGCAGAGCTGGGATCCGAGCCCCACTGAGCGCCTGGCTGCCCCAGGCTACTTGCTCACTCGCCCAGAAGCTGCTCCCTGCCTGCCTCTGTCTCCCCAGTGTTTTGGATGCAGATTCTTCAGGTGCAGCCTCCACCCAGGATTTGTCCAGCTGCCCTGTCCTATCAGGCTGCTTGAAGGGGGGCTGGGGACTGGGTGAGTAGGCTTAGGGCCCACCCAGTTTCAGCAGGATCCACCTGCTGGGATCCTGTCTTTCTAGTGTGGCCACAGTCACCATGACACAGTGTTGGATGTCATCACTTGCTGTTCCACCATATGGCTCGGCTTGAGCCAGGCGGAAGCCTGCTGGGCCTGGGGCTGCCCACCGGGCGGCCTCACCTTGCACTTGCAGCAGGGCTACCACGCGGGTCCCCGCGGCCTCACAAGAATAGATGCCACTGTCGCAGGGCAAGGCCGGCCTGAAGGACAGCCTGGCCACGGTCCAGTCCTGCTCTATGACGATGCGGTGCCCGTCGGCGTGCACCTCTTGCTCATCCATCTTCCACGTGGCCTGCACCGGCCTCGAGTACTGGCAGAGGAGCTCGGCCGGGCCGCCCTCCTCAACCGCCAGGTCCTTCATGGCACTGACCACCTCCACCGTGGGATCTGTCGGCCGATACGCCAGGCACGCGTCAGCCAGAGCAGTGTGGCCGGGCCCCACCCGCCCTGTGTGGCCAGCGTCAGCGGCTCAGCAGCAAGCAAGCACAGGGTTGTGGTAGAAAAGGAGCTCATGGTGGTGGCCCGAGGCCCTCCATGAGGGGCAAGCCTCAACCCCACATGCCCCACTCATGGCAGTCCATCTCCATCTGCTGGGCCCCTCCTGGCCCTTCTTGCCCCAAGCCCCCACCTCCCTGGGTCTGGGGCTCACGTTGTCACAGCAGGGACACAATGCCCTCTTCCTGAAAGCCTTGGTGCTCCTTGGGTCCACCGCCTCTGCTAGACACACAGCACCTCCAGTCTAACTTGTCCCTTCTCCAGGGGTCTCTCTGCCCCTATGGGGTCCCCATCCCACCTCTACATGGCAAAATCCACCTGGCAAAATCCTAGTCAACAAATGGTTCACCCCTGAGGGAACCTGAGGGAATGTCCACATCTATTCTGCATCAATGCAGAGGAGGCCTGTCGGCAAACATGCCACGGGAGCCGCACCAAGCGGCCATCCTAGGAACACCTGACATTCCCACTGGGAGTGCACTAAGGGGTCCCTGGAAGCCCACTGCCTTCCCCAGTGGCTAGCTCTTTCCCAGAAGACACAGACTAACCCAACCCACAGCAGTAGAGGCAGCCTTGAGCAGGGACAAGGCAGGCCAGGCCAGAACTGGAAGGCTGCCTTCTGGGTGTGCACCTGAGGGATGTGCAGCTGCAGAGTGGCAACCAGGTGGCAGCAACACCCAGGGCCCCACAAGCAGGTGGGCATGGGGTCGGCCTCTAGCTTCATGCTCTGAGACTGGCCTTCTTTCTTATCCATGAAGCAGGACTACAGCCTGCCCTTACGCTCACCCATGGCACGCGTGGAGTGACGCCAGTCCCTGAACCCCTGCCCTGGGAGCCCACAGGAAGCATGCAGGAGCAGCAGGGGCAGAAGCGCCAGTGTGAGCAGGGTTCCATTGGCTGGTACCTTTGACCAACAACTTGGCCGTGGAGACCAGGGGCCCTGCACGGTACGTGATGGTGCCTGAGTCAGCAACCCCCAGGCCCGACAGCATAAGGGAGTGGAAGGTCCCATCACGCACGCAGATGGCACTCTGGGGGCCGTCCTGCAGCAAGGTCCCATCCAGCCACCAGCGGGCCTCTGGCCCACCTGCACGGGACACCTCGCAGGAGAACGTGGCCACCTCCCCCGCAAAGACGTCCACATTCTGCAAACCACGTACCAGGCATGGCGCTGCCTCTGCACAAGAGGGCAACAGGAGGGCAGGCTGGGATGCCCTGGGACCATGGGACCAAATGGGGTCCACTACTTGGGGCTCCCTGGGGTTGGGGTCCAGAGAGCCACCTGGGCCAGCTGTCCTACTTTTCTCATGGAATGAGACATGCAGACTACCCACAGCAAGCCCATGGAGAGTCAGCTCAGCCCCTCTGCACCCACACCTCTCTTTGGAACATGCCTGGTTTCACCAAAGTACATGAATGATATGCATCCACAGCCTCTTCAGAAGGCAGAACAGACAAGCCCTAAGCCCCATGGCTGTAACCTTTGTGGGGTGGGTTTTGGGCTAGGGAGGAGAGGCCATAGGGCTGCAACTATGAGAAGGTGGGGTCTGTCTCAGGTAGTGAGCCCTCTGTCTCTGTGGGTATGGAAGCAGGTGCTTCTCCTGTCCAGATGTACCCTATAGTCCCTCTGGCCCTAAGATTCCAGGGCCCTAATGCCCGTGGCAACTGTTCCCTGCCCCATTACCCAGCAGGCCTGAGCCCAGAGGATTCCCAGATGCAGCTGCTGCCTGGACTGTGCTCCCACACCCACCCCAGCCAGGCCCTACTCAGAAGCCCTCGATGCCCTTCTTGTGTGTGCACCACTGACACTCCAGCCCCAGCCCCCCTTACTTGTCCCCACCCTCTTCCAAGAATGCACATCTGACAGTTCCTGTCTTCTCCATCAGATCCTCATTCCCACGTCAGGCACTATTCCCAAGCTCACCTATACACCACCTACCAGGACACCCATTCACACACCCCCGTGCCCATGGTCCTCCCCTAAGGATATGACCCGGTGTCTGCACACAGGCCAGCTGGTACAGGCTGGGGACACCTGGCTGACAGAGGTCAAGGTACAGCCCTCAGCAAGGCCCACAAGGCCGAACCTAGCTCCTTGTCCCCCAAACAGACACGCACCCTAATGAATACACAAGGCCCTTACTGGCCCAGCCCTGCTCAGGACACTACCCCTCCCCTATCACTCTACTTGAGGAGTTCCCCAACCTGAGGCCACAGAGCTGGCTGTGTCTGACCATTCCCTGAAGACTCACGACATGGCTTTGTCTTTAATGTCCAATGCCCCCATGGGATTGGGGACTCCCCAAGGGCAGAGCTGCACCTGGCCCCTCTCAAGGTCTACAACTTGGACAAGGTTAGGGGCTTAGAAGGTTTGTTCAATAGATGGATGGTGGGTAGTGGATGGATGGTTGAACAGATAGATGGTTGGGTAGATGGATGATGGATAAATGAACAGATGGATGATTGATGAATAGATGGTGGATGCACAGATGTATGGATCGATGATGGATGAATGTGGCGAATGGATGGATAAATGATAATGGATGGATGGATGGATGGATGGGTGGATGGATGCATAGATGGATAAATGATGGTAGATGGTAGATGGTGGCTGGCTGGATGGTGGATAGATGGTAGATGATGGATGGGTGATAGATGGATGGATGGATGGATGGATGATAGGGGTGAATGGGAGGATGGTGGACAGATGGTGGATGAACGATGGCAGATGGTGGATAATGATGATGGATAGGTAAATGGATGGTGGATGGATGGATGGTGGGTGGGTGGATGATGGATGAATGGTAAACAGATGGTTAGATGAATGGGACTAGCATGAGAACCAACAGTAAGACAGCAGGGGAGGAGCACTCAGGAATGACCGGATCTTCAGACAAGGTATAACCTGTTGAAGGTCCTTGAAATCCACTATATCCAAAACTGTACACGTGTCACAGGTTTGCATCATCACCTGGGAATCTGTCGACTATGCATGTGTGTTAATATGACCTGTGTCATAGGTGTAGCCATATGGAGGGTAGAAGTGTGGAAGGCCCCGCCCAGACCCCAGCGGCCAGGCTCCCTATCTCCCTCATGCAGATAGCACTAACCCCACACAGGGACCCCACCCCCACACACAAACCAAACTGTCTAGAGCTGATCTTCACCATCCTACCTCAGTGCAATCTCTGCCATAGCTTTAGCGGTCAGGGGTTAGAAAATTGCCATCACAAGGCAAGGTCACCACGGGAAGGCTTGGGTTTCTGGCCATACCACCCCCTAACAGCCCCTTAAATAGGGACATGGGGACATCCCAAGCAGAGCGCTGGACATGTGTGTGGGGGGGGCTGCCCACCTGTGACCTTCAGCTGGGCCTCTGAGCTACATAAGCCCACTTGGAAACTGATGGTTCCGGCATCCTCGAGGGTCACCTGCAGAAGCAGAGATGGGGTCTCAGCCTGGTAGCCCATTCCAACTATTTCTGCTGGCAAGTCCCTAGCCCAAGGCAACTGGAATTGGAACCTTCCCCTCCCAAGCCCCTGGAACCTGTGGATGGAGGCAGGTCCCAGGGCCCCACCTTATGGAGGGTGAGGGAGTGCAATGTGCCATGCTCCTCTGTGATGTCGTTCATCTCATTGGCCTGCAGGGGCACCCCTCCCAGGGCCCAGCGGGCCTCCTGGCTGCAGGCTCTGGACAACCGGCACCGGAAGTGGGCGTCTTGGCCCTCGCTGAGCTGCACATCCTGCAGGGGCTCCAGGATGGTCACCTCAGGGGCTGCACCGGGGAAGGCATAGCGTCAGCCTTGGCACCTGGGAAGCCTCCCAGTCCTGGAGTCTGCTCCCTGCATCCCACCCCAATTCTTGCAGACAGGCACACAGGGCACCACTCAACCCTGACATCTCGGGCCACCCCAGAACCACCCATGCACGGAGCTACCTCCCCACCAGTTCCCTGCCCTAAAAGCAGGGACCCTTGCAGTCTGTCTCTCCCCCCATAGTGCCTGGATGTTCTAGCCACAAGTGTGGTAAGCAGCTGCCCGTGCCCGCTACCTCGGACGGTGAGCTGGGCGGAGGACATGTGGAGACCCACGTGGAAGGAAATGGTGCCTGCATCCTCTGGTGTCACGCCTTTCAGCCGCAGTGTGTGGGTGTGGCCACCCCGCACAGCCACCTCTGTCACCTCATTGCTCTGCAACGGCAGGCCCTGGAGGCGCCACTCCACATCCGTGGCACCAGCGCGTGACACCTCGCAGCTGAACTCCACCTCCCCGTCAGCCTGCACCTCGGCGTCGAGCAGACCCCGCACTATGGTCACCTCGGGCTCTGGGGTGTGGGCCAGGGGAACCCGTTATCAACCTGGTCTGAACACCCAGGCCAAGCTCCCATGCCCCTTCTCCAGGAAGCCTTCCTAAATACTCTCACACTTTTCCCCTGCCATGACCTTCATCTGCCCCACACAGCATTCATCACCCAATTTGCTACAAACACAGACCCCTCCTGTGATGCTGAACTCCTGGGGGCAGAGACTGGGTTGAGGGTGCCTCTGTTTAGAGAAAGTAGGTGAGGGGTTGCAGGGTGGTGAGCTGCCTCTGTCTATGTCCCTGTGGCTGGGACATCAGGGAGGCAAGACCTTCGGACAGACAGGCAAAGGCTCAGAGAAGGCAACCCAGGTTAGGCTGACTCACCTAGCGGCTGGGGGCAGAAGGCAGGGCAGCGCCATGAGCCACAGCCTATTTTCCTACTGTTGACAGGGGAGTGGTGCAGACATGAGAAGGGAAAGCTTGTAACCTCAGGGGCCTGAGAGCCACCCTGGAATAGCACCTGCTAGAGGGGGGCCCCCCAGGGTAGCTAAAAGAGAAGTGGGTGCAGCAAGGAGGGCTCACCTCTGACCTTGACAGAGGCCAAGGTTTTCTGGCCACCCACCACGCAGGCATACTCGCCCGTGTCCCTGGCCTCGAGCCCATGGATCAGCAGCTCACACGTGGCCCCCTGGTAACGCATCTCGTACTTGGGGCCTGCACGCAGTTCCGTGCCCTCTTTGAGCCACTGCACGGGAGCCCCAGGCTCCACCTTGCTCAGCTGACAGCACAGTTGTGCCACACCACCCACTTCCTGCTCCGTGCCCTGCAGTTCGGTCTGGAATATGGGCCTGGGGGCTGGGGGGCCAGGGGATGCTTAGAGGTGCTGTGCAAGGTGCCCCCTGCTACACAGGGGCTGAGGGGCCTGGGGAGGGCAGGGGCCATCGCGCAGCTCACCGCGGACTGAGAGGCTGGCAGTGCTCTGTGCGTGGCCTGTGTCGCAGGTGTAGTGACCAGCGTCTTCCTGCTCAGCACTCAGCACCAGCAGCTCCACGGCTGCACCCTCCTGCATCATCTGGTACTTGGCACAGGGGAAGAGCTGCAGCGAGCCCTTGCGCCACTCCACACTGGCACCTGCCCGGCTCAGCTTGCAGCACAGGCGGGCCGTAGCACCCTCATCCACCTCCTGGGCCTGCAGCTCCTGCAGGAACTGCACGGGCGCAGCTGTGGTGTGAGAGGGGCATGGGGACAGTGACTCAGTCTAGGTCCACCCACCCAGCACGAGCAGAGTCCCTCAGATGGGACTCCCAGGGTGAGGCTGCAGCCCGGAGGGTGTCCCCAAAGCAGACAGGGCCTACATTCAGGACAGAGCCAGCCTTGGAGCCCACCTGTGACAGCGAGGGTGGCGCTGGTGGCCTGGGAGCCACAGGTGCATGTGTACTCGCCGGCATCCTCCCTGCGCAGGTCTCGCAGCACCAGCTCCATCACGCGGCCCTGTTGACGTAGCTCATGGCGCTCGTCCTCCTGCAGCTCAAGCCCGGCTTTGCTCCAGACCACAGTGCTGGGCTCCAACAGCTCACACCGAAGGGTGGCCAGGCCGCCCTCCTCAGCCTGCAGGCTCCGTAGGGGTTCCCTGAATACTACCTGCAGGGCTGGGGGTGGGTAGGCAGAGTGGGGACAGAGTCAGCCCCCACACCCAGGCAGAAGCCGCCTGCCCCACCCAGCCAGGATACAGCCCCCACACCCAGATAGGAGATGGCACCACATACTCGCCCCCCCAACTCAGCAGGAGACATCCTCCCACACCCAGGCAGGAGATGGCCCATCACACACCTAGCCAAGAGATGGACCCACACACCCCAGCCAAGAGGCAGGCCCCACTCCCCACATCCAGTTAGGAGACAGGCCCCCAACACCAGAGCAGGAGATAGCTTCCCGCACCCAGTCAGTCTGCTAAGGGCCAAGGTCAAGCATAGCCTGCAGCTCCACTCCCACTGCCTGACTGCCCACAGGCCCCAGGAGACTGGAATGGGAACGGGTATCATAAGTTTGGGTCCACTGCAAGGGGAAGGAAAAACTGTGGAGGCTGCAAGAGGTGCTCTCAATCAGACCAGGCTAATCTCATGTCAGCCTCCACCCCGGATTCCCATGGACAGGGCTGTGTCCTGCCAGGTCATCAGGGTCGGAGGTCCCCGTGGACCACTAAGGCAGAGCCATCCCTCAGATCCTGACTATAAGCTGTGGAAAAAGGGTAAAAGTTGAGTGAATTAGGAAAGGAGTAGGGCCACAAGCTAAGATGCTGTCCCTACCATGAAGTCTGACCAAGGGCAGTCATTTGGATGCAGAAAAGTACACAGACACCAGAACACTGAACAACATTGTGACAGGCAAGGAGACAGGAACAGAGAAAAAAATGCCCAAGGAACAGAATAATAGAGTGCCTGTGGGTACCCAGTGTGAGCACAATAGACTAGGAGAAGAGGACAGGCATGCAAATGAGTCCACATTGCCACACGTGGTCGTTACCCCTGATGATCAGCGTGGCCGAGGTCCTCTCCTGCCCACACACACACGAGTATTCCCCAGCATCGGCCACAGCCAGGCCCCGGATCTCCAGCTCACACACGGCCCCATCCTGCCTCAGGATGACTCTGTCCCCAGCTCTGAGGGTCTCGGGCCCCTT